AAGTATTTTAACCTTACTAATAAAGGCCTAGTTACTAAATACCTAAGTATTAAGGTTATCTAGAAAGGATCCTTAATTAGACTCTTGTAAAAGAAGTTTATTACTATAATACTCTACTAATATAGTATATAATATAGTAAGCCGGTTTTAACTCCTTTTAATAAGAAAGAACCGCTTATTCCTATAACAGAATAAGCTATACTTACTAAATATAAGCTATATTAGGAATAAGTTAGTAAAATCATTTAGTTAATAGTTAGTACCTATAGTAATATCTCCTATACCGCTATCTAGCTTACTAAGTATACTAGAAATCTTAGCTAGTAGTATAAATAGGCTCTTAAATATCTATTCTACTACCTTTTAGGTATAATTAATCACTATATCTAGTTTAAAAGTAATCACTAATCTACTCTATATAGTTACTATAATACTAACTATATTAATCCTTACTCTACTAATAGGATCTCTACTTCCAGCTTTATCTTTTACCTTACTAGTAGGCCTATTTCCTAGGTATTAAAGAAATAAGCTTATATTACTCTCTTATTAACTAAGTCCGAGTATATTATATAGGTATTAGCTATATAGGAAGCGCGCTAGTTAATCTTACTACTTAATAAATTAAGGATATAAGATTATAGCTTATTACGAAAGCTAGTTATTATCTATACCGATAATACTAGTACTATTATACTCGCTAAGAACCCGGAATACTATATAAGAACTAAGTATATTACTGTATAATACTATTTCCTACGATAGGAAGTCTCGTTAGGCTCGGTGACGCTTAAATACATTCCTATATAGGAATAAGCCGCTAATAGTTTTACGAAGCCTTTAGGAGCAACAGCGTTCTAGCGATTCATTGATCAATTGGGACTACGTCCTAACACCTAAAGAAAGGTTTTTTGGAAGCTGAATAGCTTTATTTTTCATATAGGAAAGGACTATAGGGGGATTCTTTTTAAACGATTCATGTGGCATTGATCGTGGGGGGTGTTTGTTATCTCTCAGATGCCACAGGCTCGCCATCCCATAGTTACTGACTATATAGTCAGTCATCTTTCCTAGTTTGTATAGTAACTCTATAACAATTTACATATTGTACACCATCGTCTACCATCGTAGACATCAACAAGTTTACATAGACCTCCCTCTTCTTTAGCCACCCACTATGCCACCAATTCGTACTCAATATTGTTAAAAACGTACAGAGCAAGGGGGTAAGATTTAATTAGCTATTCAGGGTACTAGGAAACAAGAAATAAGCTCTATTGCTCTCGGTGCTAGGACCTTTGAAATACCGCGTTCAACTCTATGCAACCGTCTTACTGGATGTACAGAACACGCGCTACTTCCCGCAAGTTCACATAAATTGAACGAATCTGAAGAGCAATTGCTTCGGAAATGGAGTGTCACGGAGTAGCTGTCTCCTGTACATGTTCGTAAGGAACTGTCGGTGAATCGCCAGCGCCCTTACGTAGACACGTCAGTATTGATTGACCGCTCCTCTTACGCCTCGTGTTATAGTCCGATCCAGGGGAATCTGAGAGCTCCCCAAGAATAAGCCTTCGTATTCTCTCCAATACCATTGTTCTGAGACAATCCCTCATCTTACCCTAAGTTGACAGGTTCTATCCTGTAAAAACTAGAACCCCTTATAATTTACATGGATTCTCTCAATGGATTCTCGTGTAGCAGCACCTCGGCCTTCTACCGTACGAGAAATGGCACACTTGCTACTCGCGGCGCGTGGATCTACCCTTCCTCCTTCGATCGGCCAAATTGGGTTACGATTACGGTAAAAGACATTCCACCTATCCAGTAGATACTTGAGATGCTTGTTGGTGGGACGGGAGTACGTACAAACCATCGCTACATTTGATAAAACTTTTCCTCATCGCTTGTTCAAGGGGCTGCTTTTGTCGGACATCCTGTTGGTCATGGAAGACTCAAAGCACTCGGCGGTGCCATAGATGGAGCTTTTCTTGCCAACATGGTAATGGATTCTGCCAAGCGAAATCATCGATACTTTATGAATGAGCTCAGAATGGACCTTATAGGGCTGTGTTTGATTAAACCCCAAGGATCTTCTTGTTGAAGTTACGATGTAAAACTGATAGATATGTGAAAGCTGTATGGCATAGAATGAGGTTGTTTAAGTCTACTCCCATGAAGGAAGTATCTTTACTGCTATTTATACTAGTAAAAGTACAATAGACGAGGGTCTAATGGAGATTTCCCATGTTTTTGCAGTGGGTAAATCTCCACAAAAGCCCTATCAGGTGATGGTTGCATGAACCTCGTAAATTGAGGCATTGCCCGTACGGCAAATGGCCTCATATTTCAACACTTCTCACCCTAAGGCCGGTAGAGTGGTATATCCAGCGCTAGCTTATCAACTACGGCTCCAATTTATTTATCGGCACCTGACCCAAGACGTGCCCCACAATGACTAAGACCAGTAAAGCATACTGTCGGAAATCACCGGTACAGCAATGTATGTTTCAAAATGACAGATGTGTATGACTCTAACTAACTAAAATGACAAGAATCCCCTATTTGACAATTTGCTGGGGCATAACTGACTAAGCTTAATATGCAATTTGTATGGGGCCCACTATCATAGCGGTCCATGTATTTTCCGAGGTGTTGAATACTCGGGTTCCCAGTCATGTATTGTAACATAGCTTTCGACACATACATCAATGACAGGATGATAGACTTCTTCCCCTGATACGTCCGTTTGTCATCGATAAAAGGAAATCTTACGCAGACATCCATCTGTTTTCCAGCAATCAAGCCTCTCACTGCCTTAAAGGCGTCGTTGATACCGAAAGTAAAGCTGCACAACTATTCAAAACAGCCTAATTAGTGCTACGCGCTATGGACTACCTTGAAAATTGATTTCCGAGAAAACGCCACCTTCAATGATATGGAAATACCCATAGATATTTTTCAGCAAAAGGTTGAACAGCAGCAATTTTGCCACGGAAATAGCGAAGACATGCCGAATGGGGTTAATAACAAGAATAGGAGAGATTGTGATTATCCTGCTTTCAAGGCAGACTCCGGCTGCGGTTACGGCCGTAAATAGTCGTTGCTGGGATCCACCAGCAACCGATTTATGTTGGAAAGGAGGCGCCCACGAATTAGGTATAAAATAAGATAAATGGTAATGATTGTACGAAAGGCCAACTGTACCCATATCCAGTGCGAATCTCAAGATGAACTGGGCCCTGCTGATGACCGGTTTTCTTCCCGTGGCACTCGCAGCCGCCGTGCCTCAGGATATTGACATTTCTGTGAGGGATACGACGGCTTCGAAGATTATCAATATCCACCTCAAGTACCCTGATTCGGCTTTCAAGGAACATGTCTTCACTTACGGCAATTGTGGTAGCCGTAGTTTCTCTAGCTCTCAGTTGACCATTGCACATGGTTCCGGAGGCGTGAAATCTAGCGAAGATACTCGATTGGTTTGGGTCGTCCCCGATGATGTCTCCTCCGGAGGATGCATTATGGCGTGGGAGAAGAACAAGATCCTGATCGGGCAGAGTGAGCCACTGGCTTTGGAAGGAATCCTGCGACCCAAGTTGACCAAGAGGGAGCGCATTTTAATGACAAATGGCTCTGGTATCGATGCAGAGGGCCCATGGTTCAATGGGGTTTCCCTTCTCAAGAACCAAGAAATTGGGACCGTTGATGTGGCGAAGGCAAAAGGCAAAGGTGTGTATAACCAAAATCACTCGGATTATGCATTCTTAATGATTTCAATCAGCTATCGGCATTCTCGGGGCTGGAATATCGGGGTTGATGACCTATGTATGTCACCTCACCTACTTGGATTACTCAATTGGTGATGCTCATTTTTTTTAAAGTTTCTCCTCAACAGCGTTGGCTTTACAAACCTTGAGATCTCCGAGTCCACCGACCGAGTTGGAGGGTAAGTCTTTCTCTCAGTATGTGTTGTATCAAGGCTGACAATAGAAAGTCGCATTTGGACTGAATACTTCGACTTGCCCGACTCAAAATACCAATACCAAGAGATGGGAGCCATGCGAATTCCTATCACCGCAACATTTCCAATAGGCAACGAGACTCTGACGTTGAATTTTACTAGCCATCAAATTGTGTTTCAACTAGCAGACGCCTTAAATGAGTTGAACAAACACGACGAATCACTTGCCGTTGACTGGATCCCCTTCATCCAGGACAGCAATAATGCCCTTTCCTTCATTGAGAACAAAAGAAACGCAGACGGCTCAATTCCGACCATTGGTGATGTTGCGAATAATAGCTCTCTCGGTGCTGCGTCCCTTCACACCCCCGAGTTAGACAAGTTGATGGGACAGTTAGGCAAAATCATGTACGATCCTTCGATGATGAACCTAATTGCCAGCAACCTCTACGAAGCACACAAGAAATTTATGGGTATGGTATATGGCCCTATTACTCTTGATGAATCTGGTTTACTAATTGTATTATAAAGACGTCGGTCTCAATGGCAGAGGCGGAGACAATTGGGCTCAGGGGAGCTACCTTCATAATGTATTGGGCTTTGATCTAAACACCACCGGTTTGGCTGGAGGACTTGCCTCTGCTTCTGCTTCTGCCCCGTTCTGGGTAAGCCTGTGAGTGTTCAGTAGCCTTACGAGATTGTGGAGTATTTTACTCATATCCGGTACCCACAGGTACGATAACTTGTTTTTCTCTTCTAAGGAATGGAAAACAATTGACAAAGGTTAGTTCTTTGTTACCAAGTCATCAATAATGGGCAACTGATACTTCCAAGGCATGAGTCGACTGCCAAACGCCTTCAAGCCGCTCGTCAAGGATGATCTCAGATACCGCAGGAAGATCCAGAAGGTCGAATTTCTCGAACATGAGAAGAAGGTGCAAGTTTCTTGGAAGAACCATTACACCGACCGTCAGTTCCAGAATACCAGTTATGACTATGCCTTTGTCGCCGTACCCTTTACCGTTGTTCGTAAATGGGAACTTCCAGGTATGGATAGCTCGCGGGGTTCCAATTTCAGAACTGATCTCACTTTATCAGAGTTCTCTACAATCCTCACCGACGCAATTGCTCAACTCGGCTATCAATCTGCCTGCAAAGTAAGTTTATTGACCTCGCATGGAGCACAGTACTAATAAAACGTGACAGGTGGCGCTGGAATTCAAGTCACGATTTTGGGAGCATTTGGAACAGCCGATCTTTGGTAGCTGCAACACCAAAACCGACATTCCCGGTATTGGAAATGTCTGCTATCCTAGCTTCAACGTGAATAGTACAGGCCCTGCGGTTATTCTCGCCAGTTATAACCAAGACGACTATGGCTACCGCTGGGTTTCCACGCCCGAAAAGGAGCATGCTCAGTACGTCCTGGATGCTTTTGCCCAGTTACATGGAGATATTGTGTACGGAGAATACACTGGAAACTTCAGTCGTCTGTGTTGGTTGGAGGAAGAGTCCAATGCGGGCGGCTCTTGGGCTTTTCCAAGTGTGGGTCAGCACGAGCTGTATATTCCATCTTACTTCAACACGGAGAACAATGTGTGTTACCCTCGCCTAGGAGTTTCGAAGTGCGAGTCGTGATTGCTGAACTTTGACAGATGATTTTTATTGGAGAACACACATCGTACACCCACTCATGGAGTACGGTCAACCCACAGCCCTTTTCTTTTCAGCACGAGCTGACTTTTGCTTACAGTTGCCTCCGCTTTGGAATCCTCCGTTCGTGGAACAGTACAGCTTCTGCTAGGTAGGATCATCTCAAAATATCGCATCGCTTTGAGGATTAACTGACTTGACCTTTTATGGTAGAACTTGGATTAGTCGATGAAGCAAAGGAAATTACCACGACGTGGATGGGTAGATGGGTTACTGTTTAGTGGCCACGACCCCCCTACAACACCTGAAAAGCTCAGGCGCTGATTCAACCCTCCCAAAGAGGTAAGTAAGCGCTAAAAGGGTAAGGAAGAGAGTGAATTTCGTATTAGTCAGTTATTCTTTCTCGGATACGAGAATCCGAATCGAACACTTTGGATAGGCGCAGTTCCTATAATGTCGAGTTCGACATATATTATGCACACCACATGTGACTCACTATCTCTATACAGAGTGATTCAGTCTATTCACAGCTCTCTACTGTTTTCGTCTCTTATTTGACATTTCTTTGAGTTTGTTACCTTTAGGTTAATATTAATTGTTTATTGACTAAGCACGATCACATATATTGCAAAACCGGATCAGGTGGAGTCACCTCGACCCGCAGATTCTCGCGGCAAAAGATATATCGTATTAATCGTTAAGCATAGCCATGTTCCTCCACATCAAGCGTGGTCTGGCCTTGTTTTGTTGGTTTAAACTTGGTCCAAATCCGAGAAAGAGGCCCCATCCGCTCGACCACACTAGTTTACCTGTTAGACCGCGGCAGCTTCTATTCAACCAGGGCTCCTGAACGGCCGTGTTATTGATGAAGCTACCAAGGCACAGCCAATGGTTTTCTCGGACGGAGCTTGTTGATGACAGACACATCGTAATTCTATACTGCATACATAATTGGAATGCTAAAGCGTCATCCCTGCGTATGATCCATGGATGGTAACTATACGATACGAGCTACCTTTGCTTTGTATCGTTGGCAAAAGGAGCCCCGGTCTATGTTGGCTGGGCTTTTCTTGCCAATAAATTGGTGTCTCATACTGCAGTGGTGAAACCGGCGACATCATGACATCATGGGCCTCAGGCCGCATTAATTTCTTCGCAGTGCACGTGCTTCTTTTTCATTGTGAGATCTCAGGCAGTTTAGTAGTCTACCATCTACTCTCCACTTTCATGTCGGGTTCTTTCTCTATGGATTAGGAGCAGGCGAATGCGATCGACGCTTTCAATTGCTACTCGCGTGGGCCGGGAGTGTCTTGTGGTGTTACTTCTCCCATGATATCGCCTGTCTGCTATGCCAGACTGCCATCGAGCAATCCCCTTTTAACATACAATTGTATTAGATTTCCTTGGCGGAGTGTACAGTAGTCTCCACGAGGAAGTCGACGACGGCATACCTGTGATAGACATCGACTCCCCGCGTACGATCCTCACCGACAAAGAACATGGTCTCAATAATGCAGTTCATATGATGTCTCCAGACACTAGTACCATCATCTTCATCTGGCATATCAATATGTATCTGATAAGGAAGGCCTTCCCCTTCGCCAGACACAGATCAACCTCGCACGCGAAGAAAGGCTTACTGGGGTTGGTGGATTACGTTGCCGGCGCCTGAACTCAGCGAGAAGCAGCCGAGGAGGACTTACTGGCCATCTAGGAAGAGGGCTGGATTAAGATAAAGAAGAGATGGAACCATTTTAGCTACGCATGATCCCAGGCTGACTTTGACGCCGCATGGGCATTATTTCAGACTCGATACCGGGAGCCTATCTTTGCTGACCTTGTTGCCTATATCCAGAAGGAATGGTTTTATAGCTGCCAGGAGAACTTCCATCGCTTCTATACTAACTAGTATCTCTATGACGGCGAGGCGGCGACCTCAAGTACAGAGGCTACACATTGGCTGTCGGAGAAAAATCTCCATGTCTCTACAAACGAATCCTTGCCGCCCTGGATACCTTCAAGCTTGCGATCGACCGCCACTGCGCTAACAATAAAGCCAGAAATCGGCAGCGAACGTATCAAAAGGCCAACTAGGAAGCTCCATACGTCATACGAGCCATTAATTAAGCGTGTGTCGTTTAAGGTGATCAGCTATATGGAAGTAATAAATGATATCTTCCTCCCGCCGGCGGAAGGCAAGGCATTCATCCCTCAATGTTATTGCAATTCAAGGAATACCGCTGGCGATCAATGTATCATATGGTTGTACAACGCCTTGAGGATTATCAAGGCCCCTTCTGTCTCGACCAATTCTACCCTTAATTGCAATTATACAACCTCGGATGCACAGCCTACAAATCCACACCTTTTCGTACAGAATCTTCATCTGTACGCCTCCGCGGTAGACCGGGCGGTTATCTAATTTATATTGGCCAAGATCACCGCAAGCCATACCGATCGTATCCTCGTCAACAGCGAAACAGGTTATTCAAGTGGCCGCAACCCAGCAGTCGACACAGCCTTCATCGCCCCTGATACAATTGGACAGAACTATACAGCGCATTCAAACACGCCATCCAGCTGACACAAGGGGGGCGTAGGAGTCGTATACGGGAGCGACAACTACGGGGTAGGCGAGAAAGCCTCTTAAGTCGTCTATTGCAAAGCCGAACCCTAAGCCCAAGCCTAAGCTTAAAATGCTATCACTGGTCCACGTGCGCAGAACAAGGCTATGGAGGACATGGGGGATTAATATAGAGGAGGCTGTATACCGACGAATTTGTCCAGAACTGATAGTTTGCATAGCAAAAGAAACATGCATTTTTACTATGGAAACCAAATTCATAAATGGGTACAGTTCTGTATCCAGAACGGTGTGGATAAAGGGGCAGAATTGTCGCGATAGCTTCATATTTACTGAATCATAGTTCCTGTAGAAGGCATCTACTGAATATTTGCCATTCAGTTTCAGAGCGCTAGAGCCGCCAAATTTAGCCAATGTAATAGGGGAAACACGGTAAGCTTTCTTGTTGTGGTTCTATAAAGCGTCCTCCTTGCATGGTAGTACATCTGGCCATCCTTCCTCCCCCATGGTCTCTTCCTCACTATAGACCCACCGGCAAGAACGCTGCACTGCTTCCGCACTATACCACTTAAATAGGCAATAAACTCTGCCATGAGCGCAAGTGCTTCGCTGGCCCAATTTCATGGACCTTCATTTTCAGGTGCAGCCAAGGTCTTCATAGTCAGTATATTAGATATATCTGAATTTTTGCTAATCAGATGTCGCTTCGGAGGAAAAATGACCTGTAGACTTTCAACAATCGGACAGGAAGAAAATTAGATTGTCTCCATGATGCGAACGGGAACTTATTTTATGTGCAGGTCTGGTGAGACAGTTTTAAGCTACTGGAATCCAAATGAAGCAAGGAATACACAGTTAAGAGGCTATTAGTTTACGAGCCAGTGGACCGTTCAATTATGATCAAGTCAAATCCGGTTGTATATTTCTTGCTCCTCAACTCATCTTTATTTTTTCTCCAGCGGCTTCTGGTAACCCAGATTTATCGCCGATGTTTCTCTCTGTGTCTCACATTCTCTTAACTGAAGCATGATTTCACCCTGTTGGGTAAGGAATTGTCGAAACTCCAACGTAATAGAAAGCTAAGAAGGCAGAATTTTTCGTTTCGTATTCTCAAGTTGAATGGATCCCAATTTCCAATATCGCCACATTTTATGAACACCTCCTATGTCACCTAGGCACAAAGTAGCGGAGCCCCTAGTGGCAATAATGAACAGCAGTGCTTAATCGGTTCCTCTTAGTCAATTGGGAGACTCTCGAACCGAGATTGATGGTAAATCTCTGGATTGAAGTAAGCAGTCACGTTCCATTGGTCCTTATCAGAAGCCCAGCTTATATAGGTGTGGAATCCTAAACCTTCGGTCAGGTCCCGGTGCGTGCTGTTGGACAATTCATGAGCCGGTTGGATTCCAGAAGTAAACTTCCTGGCCGCAAAACTCACCATAATCTTTTGACTCCGTCATAATAAGATCCTGTGGCCAGCGTCTTGCTACGACGGGCGAGATAGTCGGAAAGTCCTCGAGAAATCTGCTCATCGCTTTGCGCGTAATGTCGAACGGGCAGATATACCTTCGACTTGGGAGCTTTTGTACCCCGTTTAAACTTGAAGTAATAAAGAATGCCGCCTGTACGATGCTCCCTTTTACTGAGGGGCTGGTGTTCGTGATGCTCATCAGGATTCAAACCAAACACCGAGCACCAAAGCTCCCGTAAAGAGTCTTCCTCGTCCTGGGTTTTGGGGGCTCTCCCACCTAGACTTAACATATCAACTACACTCTTCAGAGTGGTGCGATGTGATCGAACATAAATTTTCAAACGAGACTGGGACGGATCGACGCAATCGATGGCTACGATTTCGACGACTGGTTGTGAACACTCTCGAAATGAGCCGAAAAACTCGTTGAACATATCCATGGAGTCCATCAAAGCGTTAACAGGTGCAGGAAGCTTTTGCACTGCACATTTGATAATAGCAAGATTCGTTTTACCTTCTGACAGTGCTCTCCATCCGGGCAAGTAGTATTGCTTGACAACAATTGATGTTTCCAGCAAGTCGAAGGCCATGAAGCTTTGTGATTGGGGCGGAAACGAGTCCTGGTTATTACTTTTAACTGGCCCGTCTCTCCACAAAAGCAAGTTTTCGAAATGGTGATGCAGGTATAGATGCAAGTTCGAGGCTAAGGGGAGAGTATCTCCAAGTAGGCGCAGACTGGCAGCAGCGTTGATGGGATCGTCTTCCTGTCCAGCAAATAAGCCAATTGGTTCAACCGAGTACCGGACCGTAGGGTTTGCTGGCAATGTGGACCAACACCAGCTTAGCTCGACCGGCGTATGGTCATCCGTCATGAAGCTCTCCCAGTCGCCAAGGGGCCCACGCCCTCTGGGATGAGGACCCAAAGATCGTGCCACTGACTCGTGAAAGAATTTCGTGTGAACCGACGCCGAGTAGCAAGAGTAGCCAGCCATAACCAGCATGCCCATTAACATAGGCCCGACTTCCTCTATCCATAATGACGGGTCGTCCGTTGAGGAGTGACAGCTATTCTTCCAGCCTGCGTCCTATTGTGGCGGTCAATATCTTGATTCAGTTTTTGGTGAAAAGCACTACGCACGTTTGTATCTTCTGGTGTCCATCTCAACTTGAAGGGTCGGGCCCTATTGAAGATCAGTTCTATACCATGTCATTGTGGCTGCAAGCGTGAACGTCACTCACAAGAAGTTCAATGCCATATTGCTCTTATATTTGTATTGGATTGGAGTTTTTCTTTTTTTACCTGTGGACCTCACTTCAGTGCATATTCGAATTCCACTGAGGATTGAAAGTATTTATATTATCCCTTCAGGTGAGAGAGCCTGAAGGTAAGGTACCCCCTGAGCGTACCGTAAGCCGAAGGGTTTGGCGTCAGTTGAGACGCTGTGCCCGGTCTTGCTGACGCTATGACGCTGAAATTTTTCTGGGCTTGTGCTTTGGTGGCTGTTCTGGTGCCCTCGGGATAACTAGACTATCTATTAGTTTGTTCTAATTCCCAGGGGCCTCTGTTAACAAAACACTTGTCCACCTTTGAAAAGGCACCGGTCGGCTAGTCATTGCCCAAGAAGCATTGCCATGCGTATATGAGCGCAGTGTCCCGCGGCTGTGGGCCGCTGTGTTGCCATCTGAAAAGTTCCCTTAACCACCGACCACTTGGGACCGAGAGGTCTCGACGGAGTCGGCGCACTCCGCTTTAATTACTTGGAGATAACAGGGTATTTAGCGTTGATACCACCTGTCTTAGAAGTTTGCAGCCTCTCGTGCCGCCCCACTTAGTCGCTTGGAGAGTTCACGGATGGCTGGAAGAAGCGTGCGATATGGTACGAAAGGTCTGGAGTATAAGGATAGGTGTACCGGCATAATCAGCACATGGCTCCCGCCAACTCATAATGGTCAGTCTCCTGTTCAGGGTCCACTTTGTGAACAGTATGTTGCTCTCTAGAAATCAATAGGCATAAGAGCTTGTGGTTATATCTCTTTTGACTTCTCTTTTGTAAAAATTTGGCATTAGGCGAGGAAGAAAAAAAAATATAGGCAAAAGAGAATGCCCGCCGTACGGCCGTAAAATTTCCGAAATTCCAAGTACCAGCTCTCAGTCACCTGCAAATTTTGTGGCTACCGTTGTCTCGAACAATGAGTTCTAGAGCGCCTTTCTCGTATCCCTCCTTGATTCGCGGTTTCCTTCGCGATAATAATCTAGCGGCTAGGGGTTGATTGATACTAATTATGTCGTAGGAAAAGATGTTTGGCTACTGTGGTGGCTGAAAACCCAAGCATCAGGTCTTTTTTTTCGTGGGGTAAATTTTACCTAGGGATATCCCAGCCTCTTGCTCTTGTTGTTATGGGGAAGCTATTTCCTTAGTAGGCAGGGGCAGTTTTTTCTTGTCTGCTTTCTCTTCAATGCTTGGACCTTCATGAACCGTGCACGATTACGGTTATTCTGGAGGTTCAAGGAAACAGGTAATCGGCAGTCGGGCCGCATTCCAGCCAAGTGAAATTTATAGTAGCAATTATAAGCAAAATTCTCAAGGAATAATAAGCCTATACGGCGGTAAACTTTTCAGAACTTTGCTTTGGAATGCCATGTGCAATTCCAGGAAACTACCCGCCCACAGAGATTGGCCGTTCACGGGTCCACTCTTCACTGGCTTGAAGATCATCTGTGCCCCATCATAACACCTTGATCTGCTGTGGACGGTTCAGAACGGAAGGGGAACAAGAGCTGGTTTGATAATCATGGCCAATATTTTAGTTTTCCCTTTTCGTTTCCGCTTCCGCTCCAAAATACGTCATTTCTGTTCTCCCTTTTCAGTTCCGCTTCCGCTTCCATAATTTGTCATCTGGCCATTTCCCCCTTTGTTGCCCAGCTGCTTCCACAGTGCAGGGAGGCGGAAGCGGAAAGACAAGTAGCCTGAGTCCTTTGGGCTTATTCATGTCAACAATAATTTTTTCAATAGGACAGACTCTGGGCCGACTTATCCATCAGTCCAAAATATACGTTTCTAGATATATATCAATGTGTAGTCTCGATGGAGTACGAAAATAATACGTGTCGGTTCAATAAACGTGTCTTGGATCTGCGATGTCGTTGTCTGCCTCGAACTCGTCAAGCGACAAGACAGTTGGCGGTGTCAATAATCCGTCGGTAGTGATCACTGCCGACTGGGATGGTCCAGATGATCCAAAAAACCCTAAAAACTTTGCCCTTTGGCGAAAATGGGTTATGGTCTTTACTGTTTCCTTCAGTTCGCTCTGTGTGTAAGCTTTCAGCCCCGGGTGACGTCCAGCATTGTCAGGAATTGCCAAGATTAACGAGTTTCGACCTCATAGGACATGTACCTCTGCATTGTACTCGTCCATCTATGGACAGATCACAGCCCAGTTCCATATTTCAGAGCTAGTCGCCACTGTAGGACTATCCTTGTTCATCTTTGGCATGGGCGTTGGGCCCATGTTTGTTGCGCCGATCTCTGAGGTAATCCACTATTCTCACCATTGTCTTGTTAAATGGAGACTGAGATCTACCAGTTTTATGGACGACGACCTATATACATTGCTTCCCTAGCTCTGTTCACTATATGGCTTATTCCATGTGCAGCGGCTAATAACTTCGGAACTCTGCTCGCTGGCCGAATGCTCGGTGGCCTGACAAGTGCTGCCTTCCAAAGCGTGGCTGGAGGAACCATCGGCGACCTGTTCACCCGTGAAACATTGCAGCTTCCAATGATGATATACACCGCAACACCTTTTGCCGGTCCAGTCCTCGGACCACTCATTGGAGGATTCATTAACTCATTCACGTCTTGGTAAGCAAAGTGACCCGCTACCAATGCCTTCTGACATAAGACTTATCAATGGTTAGGCGCTGGTCGTTTTATGTCATCATCATCTGGAGCGCCTCACTTTGGGTTGTCATGCTCCTCTTTATGAAGGAAACTTACGCTCCAGTACTCCTACGCAAAAAGGCACTCCGTTTGCAAGCCGCCTCAGATAAAAGTGGTACACCTGTGCAGCCTGGGGCGCTATCAATGCAGAAGGTCTTTTTGAGGTCCATGTACCGTCCTTTTCTATTACTGCTATTGGAACCAATGTGTCTGTGTCTTTGCCTCTACACTGCGGTCATCATCGGAACCTTATACCTCTTCTTTGGTGCCTTCCCATTGGTGTTTTCCAACCTGTACGGTTTCAACCTATGGCAAATCGGGTTGACTTTCCTCGGTCAACTAGTTGGCACGTTTCTTGGCGTCTTCCTCAATCCTCTCTGGGGATGGAATTTGCAGAGATTGGTTCAAAAACACTCACCGGATGGAAAGGAGATAATTCCCGAGTACCGGCTTCCGCCCGCAATTCTTGGAGCTCCTCTTATAACGATTGGCCTCTTTTGGTTTGGCTGGAGCAGCACAGCATCCGTGAGTACAAATTTTGCATTTCCGTCAAGATATTTTACTAAGCTCAATATGCAGGTTCATTGGATTATGCCAATTATTGGAAGTGTCTTTTTCGGTCTCGGGTACGTGTTCATCTCCCAATTTAATGCCACGTCCTATACTTATGGTAGATTTAGCGTCTTTCTCGTCTTCCAAGGCGTGATCACCTTTCTCGTCGATGCGTATCCATTGTATGCAGCAAGTGCATTAGCGGCCAATGCTTTCCTTCGAAGCAGTTTTGCCGCTGCGTTCCCTCTCTTTGGTATCCAAAGTAGGTTTCCTCTTTCCTTAGAAAGAGAAGTTTATCATGTTGCTGATAGTCTCTCTTTTACAGTGTACGAGGCCCTTGGATACCAGTGGGCCACATCTTTACTTGCCTTTTTGACGGTCGCTATGCTTCCATTGCCGTGAGTGATTCATGCGTGTAGTGGGAGCAACAACCATTATCTTGCTAACTGTGAAATAGTTATATCTTCTACCGGTTTGGACCTCGAATTCGGGCCAAAAGCCGGTTCGCGGCCGTAAATCAGCCGCTACTCTAGAACGAATTTGTCAATCCGTTCCTCGGTACCGCATATTGTCCCCTTTATGGAAGAATTGTACGATTCCCTTGTATGTTAGCTTTCGGAACTATGGAGCACATAATAATATCAAGATTGGCTTTCAAACATACTAAAGCAGAACAATACTTGACGTACGGTAGGAGTAGACCCAGATAGAATGGCGATATAACCTACTCCCAGACAGGACACTACCAATTCCAGATTAGCGGATTAATAACCTCAGATAGTTCATCAGCGTTGCTCCACTGACGTGCGGTGAGATTTTCCCTTCTCCGGAAGACGGTTGTCGAATTTATTGTTGGTATTACCCTGGCCAAGGTGTACAGTTGTGAGAGGGTGATAAATCCCAATTTCTTCCAGCAGGCCTGCAAGTTCGACGTTCACTCTGGTTTCAGGCATCGGAACATCAGTCTTGTCAACACATCCCCAGGAAATGGCTGAATGTCTTTGTCATGAAATACTGTCGAGGTTTGCATATTGCTGAAGATCTGAGTGAGGGACACACTTGGACTGAATACGTAGGTTTCGGTTCCAAGAAAGGATTAAAAAGAGCTAAAAATGCAGGCATTTTCAGTATTTATCTGCATATTCTGATCATTTGAGAAGATGACCGGGCGATAGCAGCTATATTAGGAGCTGGCTATTTCAAATTACTGCACGTGCCCATGTTTACATGCGAGATAAGAGAACTATAAGGGATCAAACCATGAATATTAGTTAGCGAAAGAAGGTTGTCGATAATTCTCCAGGGATACGGTAAATCGGCAGACCCAGATTCTGCTTGACTCTTTCTATAAACGCAGCCAAAAGTTATTATACTATCAACTCATGCGGCCGTAACGGCCCTGCTCGCTAGTACTAAAGGTCCTAGAGTGATTCTATTATCCGATGAGCTGATGTCTCGGCCGTAAGGAGTTCGCAAAATTAAGCGGGCCACGTACCTGGGGCTGGAACTGTCAGCTATCTGACAAGTTCAGTATATAATTTACTATGAAATTTCTGAATAACGGACGAGTTATCTTTTTTAGTCACAGCTGAAGATATGTCGCAAACCACCACGTCACGACCCTTGCAAGTGGGTGTTTTATTGATAAGCGAGCTAGTCCAACTTTTGGACCTGGCACCGATAGATCTTCTCACCACACTTCAGCCGGAGTACCTCGATGCATGTGGCCTTCCAGAATGGATAGTTGCCCTCGCAATAGAGAG